ATGCTTGTATATACTTATGTGATAATTGCATGTTGGCCCATGCGACTGTATTACTAAATACAAAGAGCGCTTTGAATTTAGAGGATTACTTGGTCGTTCATGGTTATACACGAAGGGCGTTCTGAGTTCGGAGTCTTGTCGGCCACTCATGACATCCACGAAGGGTGCTTCGAATTTGGGGGCTTATTCAGCCCAAACGTGAACATGCACGACGAGTGCTCCGAATTCGGAGGCTTCTTTGTATTGACCAATCGTGATATCCATGAAGGGCACTTTGAATTTGGAGGATTATTCGGCCCAAACGTGAACATGCATGAAGAGGCTTTGAATTCGGAGGCTTTTTTTGTATTGGCCAATCGTGATATCCACGAAGAGTGCTCCGAATTCAGAGGCTTATTCAGCCTAAACGTGATCATGCATAGAGGGCGTTCTGAATTTGGAGGCTTTTTGCATTGGCCAATCATGATATCCGCGAAGGGCGCTCTGAATTCGAAGGATTATTCGGCCCAAACGTGAACATGCACGAAGTGGCTCCGAATTCGGAGGCCTTTTTTTGTATTGGCCAATCGTGATATCCACAAAGGGCACTCGAAATTCGGAGGCTTATTCGGCACAAATGTGATCATGCATGAAGGGCGCTTCGAATTTGGAGGCTTTTTTTTCTATATTGGTCAATTGTGATATCAATGACGGGTGCTCTGAATTTAGAGGCTTTTTGCATTGGCCAATCATGCTACCCATGAAGGGCGCTTCGAATTCGGAGGATTATTCGGCCCAAACGTGAACATAGACGAAGAGGCTCCGAATTCGGAGGCTATTTTATGTATTGGCCAATCGTTATATCCATGATGGGCGCTCTGAATTCAGAGGCTTATTCGGCCCAGATGCGATCATGCATGGAGGGCGCTCCGAATCCGGAGGCTTTTTTTTGTATTGGCCAATCACGATATCCACGAAGGGTGCTTCGAATTTGGATGCTTATTCGTCCCAAATGTGATCACGTATGGAGGGCGCTCAGAATTGGAGGCTTTTTGCATTGGCCAATCGTGATATCCACAAAGGGCACTTCGAATTCGGAGGATTATTCGGCCCAAACGTGAACATGCATGAAGGGGTTCCGAATTTGGAGGCTTTTTTTTGTATTGGCCAATCATGATATCCACGAATGGTGCTCTGAGTTCGGAGGCTTATTCGGCCCAAACATGATCATCCACGGAGGGCGCTCTGAATTTGGAGGCTTTTTACATTGGCCAATTGTGATATCCACAAAGGGTGCTCCGAATTCGAAGGCTTATTTGGCCCAAACGTGATCATGCACGGAGGGGACTCTGAATTCGAAGGCTTATTTGGCCCAAACATGATCATGCACGGAGGACGCTCCGAATTCGGAGGCTTTTTGCATTAGCCAATCGTGATATCCATGAACGGTGCTCCGAATTCGTAGGCTTTTTCATTATTCAACCATTACTAACGAGATGGCGATAAAAAAAATGAATTGCATTACGAAATTCATAGATGTTTACATGCTAGTATAACAGCAAAAATTAGAAACTAGCACATCGTACAAGTTGGCTTAATGATAAAATTTACGTACATGTGTGGAATTCCAAGGGCGGGGCAAACTTCTGCTAGTCATGTCTGAAAGCCGAAAAGCCCCTGTTCTGGTAATCGAATCAATCTGATAAGGACCGTTCCAGTTGGGGCCAAATTTACCGTTTGTCGAATTCTTAGCATTAGAAAGCACTTTTTTAGGACCAACTCTCCAGATGTATAACGACGCAATTGTACGTGCTGGTTATATTATTTGATGAGCTGTTGTTGATACCTCGCTATAAACGCAAGGGCACGATCTCGTCATTCTTCAATCATAGTCAAATCTAAGGCCAACATCATGTCATTATGACCGTTGTTAAAAACCTTGGACTTCAGTGTATGCAAGCCGATTTCAAGAGCGATAATAGCATGTGTCCCAAAGCACAAGGTGAATGGCGTTTCTCTAGTAAATCTCCTCGGAGTGTTACGATGAGCCCACAGCACACTGGGCAATTCTTCAACCCACCTGCGCTTGGCCTTTTCCAATCGTTTCTTGATGCCACTCAAGATCACTTTATTGGAGGCCTCAGCCTGACCGTTGCTTTGTGGATATGCTAGCGAGGAAAAGTAGGGCTAGATACCATACGTGTTGTATAATTCCCGATAGACGCCACAATCGAATTGGGTGTCGTTGTCGGAGACAAGTGCCCTCGGTATGTCAAATCATGTTATACAGTTTTTCCACACAAAACATTTAACATCGACATCTCGAATATGTGTTAATACCTCTGCTTTAACCCGTTTTGTAAAATAATCTATTGCGACGATCAGGAATCGCTTGTTCCCTGGAGCCTGCGGTAATGGTTCGACGATATCAAGTCACCATTAAGCGAACGACTAACGACTAGTGATGGAATTTAATTCTTCAACAGGCTGATGAGTTAGAAGGGAAAATTTTTGGCATTGTTCTCACTTCTTTACGTAGCCCTCAGCATCTATTAGCATAGTCGACTAATAATACCCCTGCGTTATGGCTCGATGGGCTAATGAGCATCCTCTAGAGTGGGCCCCATAGCTACCTTCATGTATTTTGGTCAAGAGTTCTTCAATTTTGTTTGGATGCTCCAGGTATGGCCGAGAGAGTGATTTTTTTGTGAAGTTTTCCCTGCAGATCCACATAATATCCCAGGGCTTTATTTTGCAGCTGATGGGCCACTTTCTTATCCGTTGGGAGTTACTCTGAGGAAAGAAATGCAACAATTGGGTCCATCCAACTTGGTCCTGCTTCAATGATGTTAATCTGAACTGGTTTAGTAGTGATGCTCGGTTATAAGATATATGCTACTTTGATTGTTTGTTTGACCTCTGAGTTAATGGTGGAGGCTAGGCAAGCAAGGGCCTCTGTACGTGTGTTCTGATCCTGGGTTATCTGATTCAACTCGTGGTGGTCGAATTTTGTGAGCAATGAATTCGCCGTTTTCACGTAGGCTACCATGCGGTCATTTTTTGCCGCATATTTCCCTTTTAATTGGTTGATTACTAACTTCAAGTCACAGAAGACAAGTAACCGCCGTGCACCAAGGTGAGGTGCGTTACGAAGGCCAGTTAGCAATGCTCCATATTCGGCTTCGTTATTTGATGCATCAAAGCCCAGTTTGACTGCCTCCTGGATTATTGCCCCTTCGGAGGTCATGATTATTATGCCTTCCCCCCTGCTGCATTGGTTGGATGATCCGCCACAGTACATCTACCAAATGTCTCTAACATATATTCGCCAGTTGGGTTTAGGTTGCACCTGATCGAACTTGAAGTCGGCATGGCATCCCATGAATTCCGCTAAAAAGTCGGCTAGCACTTGCCCCTCGATGGCAGTTCTAGGCAAAAACTAGATATCATACTGGCCGAGTTCCAAATCCTATTTCGAAACTCACCCTAATGCTTCCGAGCTATAGAGCGTTGACCGGAGGGGATAGTCCGTTAGTACCCCGTATGGTATGAGCCAGAAAATAATGCATCAATTTTCTTGCAGCCATCACGAGAGCAAGGATGAGCTTTTCCATTGGTAGATATTGTGTTTCGGCATCAGCCATTGCCTTACTTACATAGTAAATTAGTCGTTGCTCCATGAGTTCTTCCCTTAATAGTATGGCGCTAACTAGCCGGTTGGATACCGCGAGATACAAAATGAGCGGATCGCCTGCCGAGGGGATTGCCAAGAGTGGTATTGATCAGAGATTAGTTTTCAAGCCGTCCAGTGCGACTTGGCACTCAGGGGTCCATTCAAAAGCTTTGCCCTGCCGAAGTGTGTAAAAGAATTGTTGACAGCGATCTGTGGATAGGCTAATAAACTTGTTGAGTGCGGCGGCCATTCCCATAAGCTTCTGAACTTTTTTGATTGACTGAGGATAGTCAAGTTCTAGAATTGCTATGATCTACCTCGGGTTGGCCTTTATTCCGTGATGGTTGACAATGTAGCTGAGAAACTTGCCGGATCTAGTGCCAAATGCACATTTCAAGGCGTTTAGTTTCATCTTGTACTTTCGTAGAATGCCGAAGGTCTCTGCCAAATCGGCTAGATGGCCGTGCTTTTCCTTGGATTTCACCACCATGTCACCAATGTATACTTCCATAGTGCGGCCGAGCTGTTCCTTGAACATAGCAGTAACTAGTCTCTAGTAAGTTACCCCCACATTCTACAGCTCGAAAGGCATGACCTTATAGCAATAGGTTCCTCTTGGGGTGAGAAATGCGGTCTTTTCTTAGTCCTTTGGATCCATGGCAATTTGGTAATAACCTCTGTAGGCGTCCAAGAAGCTCATGTGTTGATGATATGTTGTTGCATCTACGAGTTGGTCAATTCTAGGAAGGGGAAAACAATCCTTAGGACAAGCTTTGTTCAAATCCGTGAAATCCACACAAATGCGCCAAGCTCCATTCTTCTTCTTTACAACCACAGTATTGCACAACCATGTAGGGTAAGTTACATCGCGAATTGCCCCGGCATCAAGCAATCTGTCAACTTCTTCAACAACCGCCGAAGCATGCTCCGCGGCTGACCGTTGACTTTTCTGAATGATTGGCTTCCATTTTGGATCAACGTTTAAAAAGTGCTGGGCCACAACTGGATCCATCTTCAGCATCTCGTATGGTGTCCACACAAACACGTCGAGGTTGCTGAGTAAGAAGGATACCAGCTCGCGTCTGTCAACTTCACTCAGGGAAGTGCCGATCATGAAGAATTTGTTAAGACTCCCATTGATTTCAATCCGATAAAGGTCTTCATTTTCCTTTTTAGAATTTGTCAAGACTCTCATTGATTTCGATCCGATAAAGGTTTTCATTTTCCTTTGCGCTAGGGATTTTTCCAATGTCCTCAAGGCTCTCCCGATCCGTACTTCAATCGAATTCATTTCTAGTTCCTTTGGCCTCTTTGTAGCAGCAATAAGGTAGCATGCCTATGCCGATTTCTAAGAACCCCGAATTTGCTTAATGCCACATTCAGTTGGAAAGTGGAGTAGTTGACAGTAGGTGCTCGGCACAGCCTGCATAGTACGCAACCAAGTCCTTCCCATGATGAGATTGTATGGTGACGAAAGTTTGACGACCAGAAATTTTACATCTACTAATTTGGTGCTTGCCCCTACTGGTAGTGTGATCTTAACTAAGGGATACTCAGGGTTAGCGTTGAAACCGAACAATGGGTAATCAGCCGACAACAAATCCGAGTCAGTGAAGCCAAGTTTAACAAACTTCTTGTAGTACATTATTTCCGATGTGCTTCCTTGATCGATGAGAACACGTTCGACTGTGAATCTGTTCACGCGTACTCCATCTAAGTCGGTGTTATCAAACCTAATCCTCCCAATTTCATGGGGCCGTTTGGCTGGTGTGATTGGCTTGGGTCGGCTAGGTTGGAACTGAATTGTATGTACCTCGACTGATGACAGTAGGCTATATATCATGTGAATTACACCAAGTGGAGGTGAATTTGGCTGTAGGGCTACTGTGTTCAATGGATTGTTCTTTTGGACGTGTTGTGCCAGCCAGTCGTCGTGTACTAATTCCTCCAGGTGGTCCTTCAGTGCATAACAACTGTCAGTAGCGTAGCGATGGTCCTTGTGATGTTTGCACCGCTTATTCATTCTCATTGTATCAGGAGGTCCCATCATCTTGGACAACCACTTAAGGAACGAAAAATGTTAGACTTTGGATAAGATCTTACTAATTGGCTCTTCCAATTCCATATATTTCTTGTCCAAACGTCTTGTGCGCCTGCTATCAACTTGATACTGTTCATTTGAATGGTGCGAACACATATCGCTTGAACAGCTCGAATCACGCCTTTTATCTCGTTTAACCCGAGTCTGAGGTTTGGGGCTCCTTGATGGCATGGAGCTTATCGGTTGAACTAGACCAGATGTAGTTGACTTAATGACTTTCTATCTAGCCTTGACACACAGGACATCGTCTTCCACCTTACTGTATTCCTCAACTGTCTTCATTAACGCCCAAATTGTTTTGGGTGGCCATCTAGTCAGTGAGCTGTGGAGAGGATTATCAGGATGTAATCCCATCTTAAAGGTGGTAATGGCCATGGAATCATTGCAAGAATCATCCACCAGGTTGAAACATTCCCAATGTGTCATACAAGGTGAACGTCGATGCTTTGAACTTTTTAGGCAGCACAACCCTTGCAATGCATCGTATGAAAGCGTCGTGCCTATCTTCTTCATCCGAATCATCACTGCATTTCCCTCACCTGTGCCGTACATATAGACTTTCTTCGGATGAGCTAGATTCATCGATTCGTCCCTTCTTTCTGGGTTCCTGGGGTGGTGAGTCAGAATCACTGCCATTATCATGTTTCCGAAGTTGACGTCGTCGATCATCCTTCTTTTATGGGGATTGACCCCGGTCATGGTGTGCGGCCTGTTGGGATTTGGCTAGCTCCAGGGCCAATTCCTTACGCAACTGCTCGTTCTTAGCCATCATATCTTCCAGAATCTATTTATTTCACTTTGCTTAATCCATGATTGTCTGCACAGTCTCTTGCACAGAAGTTGAGGGTGACGTTTGAGCTACTGGGTCAAAGTTCAGGGCCGGTCGTGCGGTGATATTCTCCAGTCCAAGCATGTTTCTTGGAGTGATGTCATCTCTTGATGTAACGCCATTAGTATCTATCGAAGGATCATCTGTTATGCCCACCATGGACGCACTTGAGTATTTCCACAGATGGTGCCAATTGTGGTGAAGGTGGTTTGGAAATACTCCAGAACCTAGTCAGACGTCGCTGATCCTCTGATTGCTACCTGAAAAGGGGATGAACACTCTGGTCGGGGGTGCCAGAATTAGCACCCCGATGGACAGGTTAGTATTCTTTCTAGTTTACTTCTATTTCAAGCTACTTCCTCTATTCTCACATACCTTTCTTCTGACTGATGTTCCTCCTTTTATAATACTTTTCTAGGGCCCACCTTCTGATTTATGGAAACTATACCCACAGTTCGGCCCTCATTTATGCCGTATGATCCGCAACATACTCGACTATAAAAGTAAGCTTACTTGGTTAAGGCGGGCCAAGTTAGTCGACTGGTAAGAGCCAAGTTGCATTTGGCTCCTAATTGTAGCTTTTATATTTGGCTACCATACTGTGTCATCTTCATTGTTAAAGCTTTTGAAACTTGTGTTGTTATCCATTCTCCCTTGTGGTTGTTCCATTAGGTACATCCTTGGGTATTCTGAGAGGTCATCTTGCACTTTTGGGTGTTGGAGAGGAACCGAAAAGGTTGGCTAATGTTTTGGTAGTCCTAGTCTCACTTTTAGGTTGAGACCGCTCGAGTGGTATTTTGGTTGTTAGAGCGTGTAGACACCTCATTTTTTACTGCCCTTAAGACTTGGGTGCCTCAGGTTGATCACTCGATGATGAATTACTGCGCTGTGTAAATCTTCGATTTCTTCAACAAGAAACCTCATTTTCAATTTAATAGCCTAAAAACCGTGCACCCCCTTTGAGCCAAAACCTAATTTTTCCACACCTGACCACCCAGAAGCCTGTTGGCCAACAGGTGGCCGGCTAGCCAAAAAATGGTGGTCGGCCATCCCCTACCTGGCCAGCGGCAGGCCATGTTTCCTAGTAGAATAGATATTTGTTGCCAACTATCTCCCCATGTGCATGCACTGCACGAGCTGGCTTAATACAGATATTCCTGAGATAGCAGCCAGTTTTTCAATATATACTTGACCATACCTTATCTTTTTAGGTTAGAAAAAATTACCAAAGCTCAAATTCTTGAAAAATACTCTCTCTCTCTCTCCCTCTATGTCTCTGTCTATATATATATATATGTATATATCTTGCAACACACATACACTACACCAACACTTCCTACACCAAAAATTTGTGGCTCCTTGCTGAGGTTCTTGAGCTAAAATTTCCACTCTTGAGAGTGATCACTTATTGGTTTGTGAAGCAAAGAGTAACCTCTCTTCAAGAGGTATAACTTTGGTCATCTTTACACTACTTCTTCCCTCTCTTTTCTTATTGTTTTTGTACTATTTTTCAACTGTTTTTATGGGTTGAAACTTATGACATAAAGATACCAAACGTGGAGGGGTTAACCACCTTTCTTTGAACCTTATTCTACAAGCTTTTATCCTTGTTTTTCCCACTTCTTTCTCAACTTTTGGTCACTGATTTTTAGAGTTTTAAAAGGCTAAAATATGTGGTTTCAACATCCAAAAATGGAGGGGTTAGCCACCCTTTTGTTTGGCTTACTTACTAGCTTTATTTCTCTCCTATTTTAACTCACTTTTTCTAGCTTTTTCATACTAATTCCAGCACCATTTTTTACTCATTTAAGGACTGTTTTAGTGTGTTTATTTCTTTTATGCTTTGCATAGTACGCTTGTAGTGTTGTAGTCCTCATGCATTTGGTGGTTTAGACCTTAGACACCAACCAATTTGAGTTGATAGCTTTTATTTTCATAGCTTTCATGCATGTACTTACACTTGTAATAATCACCTCTACACCCTCCCTCCTTTCTTGGTTTTCTTTGTTTGAGAATTGTTTCAAACGAGTGTTGTTTAAGGCATGCAAAAAAGACCTTCCATGCTTAATGGTTTAATCTCCTCAGAGGTTCATTACCAAGGCATTACATCACTCTCATGCCAAGAACTTCTTGTTTGACACTTCTCTTCATTAGTGGACATAAACTCTCATTTTTGGACTAAAATGATAAAAGAATGGAAAGGTAATTAAAAAGGGCTAATAAAATTGGAACTAAAAAAAGCAAGAGAATAAAATCAAGTCGGGTTCAATTGGGCGTTAATTGCACTCATTGAGTCTTGAGTCATTTTATACTCTTTAGTGATGATAGTGGCTCAAGAATCAATGTCTACCACTTCCCTTGTGGCAACTTCGTGATAGGGAGGAGGTTTCGTTGGTCATTTATTTCCATTTATTGAGACTTTGTCCCATCGATTCATAGATCATCACACAACGAGTTTGCATCATTTGATGGTTTGTGAATCGAGTCTGCCCCTCCCTTGATCTGTTTCATGATAGGGAGAGTGAGAGAGAACAAACATCCCTTGGAAACATTCTGTTTGTCACTACAACAAAAAAGGTCTATGGAGACAAAAACGCGTGACGAAAAAATAGTTCGTCTCCAAATATAAATGTTTTAGTAATGAAAATAAGATTTCGCCTCCAATTGTACTATTTTTAGAGACGAAAACCAAATTTTGTCACCAAATGCTTAAAATCAAATAAAACAATAGGTGACGAAAATTTTATTCGTCTCTAAATTTTATTTTTCGTCACAAAACAATTTCCCGCCCTTGGAAAATTTGGTGGAAGATTTGGCGCCATTTTGGAGATGAAATTTGTCGTCACCATTGTAAAAAAATTTAGAGAGGAAATAATTTCGTCTCCAAATGTATTATTTTTAGAGAGGAAAACCAAATTTCGTCACCAAATGCTTAAAATCAATAAAAAATACAAGAAATCTAGGCTATTGTGACAAAATTTGGTGACGAAATTTTTTTTGTCTTAAAATTTAACCCAAAGATGACGAAATATTAATTTTGTCGTTTGTTTTAATTTTTCTCAAAAGTATAGGTGACGAAAACAAAATTTTGTGTGCAAAAATGAGGCGCCAATTTCATTTGCATTGGCGCGAATTATTTTAGCTCATTGGAGACGAACATTTTTTGTCACAAACTATAATTTTTTTTGTGACGAACGTAATTCGTCGCCAATAAATTCCATACCTATTAAACGATGTCGTTGCATATTTCCATTTATTAGGCGACAAATATATTTTTGTCTGCGAAGGATAAGTTATGGAAGACGAAAATATTTCGTCACCAATAAACAATCCATCATGCAAACAATGTCATTTCATCTTTCTATTAAATAGGCGACAAATATATTTTTGTTTCAGAAGAATAAGTTGTGGGAGACGAAAATATTTCGTCACTAATAAATTCTAATTGATTGCGTGACGAAAATATTTTTCATCTCATAAGGTTAAGTCGTGGAAGACAAAAATATTTCATCACTAATAATAAATTCTTTGTTCTGGTATTGAAGGATACAAAAATATTTTATCACTAATCATTTCTGTTTTTTAAAATGCCGTGAAACTGTGACCCCAAGAGATACACTCTGGCGCTTATCACTCATTTTCATGTACACGGACCTTGAAGTCATGACCCAAGAAAACACTTTCTACAAACCCTCATTTCTCTCCCGCACTTGAGTCTACTCCTCTCTCACAAGTATTAAAGTCGTGACTCAAGAAGACACTCTGTAAACCATTTTTTCTATTTCGCGCTAAAGCCCCTCTCTTCTGTCTCACACTTAAGCCCTTCATGCATGCTACTTGAGTCTACTCCTCTCTCACAAGTATTGAAGTCGTGACTCAAGAAGACACTTTATAAACCATTTCTTCTATTTCACACAAAAGCCCCTCTCTTCTGTCTCACACTTAAGCCCTTCGTGCATGCCAGCATTGAAGCTATTATCCAATAAGGCACCCTATGTACGCAAGCACTTTTTCTCATTGTCTGAACCAACTTTACCCTTTCGGTCTAGAACACCCATTTCAGAAAAATCAAAGGTCAAAACCTCTGTCCACAAAAAAAAAAAAAAAAAAAAAAAAA